GCCCCCGTGACTCAGGGAGACACGGACTCTGCTTGGCGCACCAATGGGCCCCTTGCCCATAAGGGGAGAAACGTCTCTTCCGGTGACCTTGGGCTGCCGCCTCAGAAGCACAACGGAACCTGGAGAGGCGCAGGAACCAGCCCAGGAGCACCGCCCGACTGAGTGGTAAGGACCCGGGTCCCAGGAACAGTCTGTTCGCTAGAGGACAGAAGGCGGGTGTGATCAACTCCCGACGTCACCCGAGTACATTTGTTAAAGGAAACCATGACCTCTGAGGTACATAGGGCAGAGGGTGGAGTGTGTTTGGTGTGTGTTCACGTGTGACTGAGACACGGCCTGTCTACGAAGCGAGAGTTGAGCCCTTATCCGCAGTTCCATGGCGAACCTCATACGGCTTAGGGTGGTGTCACTGGATCTCCGTGGGGAGTCTACTCCAGCGATCTGATTTGGGGGTTTATACCGACCCACCAATTGCTAAGAGGCGCCTGAAATATTCCTGCGTGGAGAGTGGCCAGAGACGAGTGAAGCGAATCTTTGAGTGCGTGTGCGACATCGACCATGGGTGGAAAGATGGGTGGACAACAGAGTAAACAGAAAGACACCTTTAGGGTGTATGCTTAATAATCTCAAAAAGGGTTATTCAGGAGACTATGGAGTCAAACTCACCCCACAGAAACTTCATACCTTTTGTGAGATCAACTGGCCCTCCTTTGGTGTTCGGTGGCCAGCAGAAGGGTTTCTCAATAGGGAAATCATTACAAAGGTCTCTCAAGTCATTACCAGTCAACCTGGCCACCCAGACCAATTCCCTTATATCGATTCTTGGGAGGCGATAGTTCGCACCTGACCTCCTTGGTTGAGAGTCTGCCTAGAGGAGAACTGTAGGGTCCTAGCCTGGGCCTTGGCGCCGTCCCAAGGTCAGTTGAAGGAAAAGAAGCCTGTGTTGTCAGCAGATCTAGAAGATGAAGAAGGGCCCTACCGCTTCACGCACCCATTTATCTGCCCATTCCGAATGCCCCCAAACAGCCGACTTCTCCCTCCGAGCCGTCCACCCTGGCCCCTTCGACCTCTCTCGGGACCCCATCCACGCCACCCTCCAGCGAGTCGCCACCACCTCCTGTCTTGACCCCCTATGGCCAGAGCCCGGCCCAAAGTGTCTCCAGTCAGGGGAAGCGCTTCAGTTCCCTTTGTGGGAGACCCAGGGCCCCATCAATTACGATCAGGACGGTCAGATTCAGGGAGGCCGGCGCACCTTCACCCATCAGCCCTTTACCACTACTGATCCCCTGAACTGGAAGAATCACACCCCCTCCTTCACTGAGAAGCCTCAGGCCATGGTTGACCTCCTCCCATCCATCATCCAGACTCAAACCCATGCAGGCCGATTGCCAGCGACGACTCCTGACCCTCTCCAAC